TAAATAGAAAAATAATTCCTCCAGCCTGTTCCAAAAAGAATCAGTCAGAATTCAAATCTCATTTTCAACAACTTAAAATTTATCATGGGATTCTATAATTTCAAACAGGAAACTTGCTTGGCAACTTGGAGAAAATTTACATTCTGTTCCGAATTCAGCCTAGCCTCCCAGACCTATCAATATCTATTTGCTGTTTTCCCTTCTTGTCAAAAGCAGATTTTTCCTCCTAGACAACTTTTCCCTGAAACTAATACCTTCTTAGTTCAAAGAAATCAGTTTGTCTCTTTGTGAGGTCATGGGAAAAGCCCAGTGTAATGCAGTTTACTCACTTTTTATTATGATGGGTCGAACTTTAAAGTAATTTATGTTTTTAAGATAGAGATTCTACAAATCTTTGCATATAATTTAACCAAAGGGTAAGTGCTTTCTGGTTTCCATTTTTAATCAGTCACCTCTTAGGAAAATTTGAAAATTTTCAGAGTGAGAAAACAAAGTATAAGGGAAATAAAAGATTTAAGGAAACATTGACTTATAAAGCAATTTCAGTTTGTACTTTTGCTAATTTTTTTGATTGTCTTAAATACCCTTTAAGGTATTAATTATATGCTGGTATAGCAATTTAATTGAGTGGTTTTTGACCTCAAGCTAGAACAGGAAAGTGAAGTTAGTACTGGCAAGAACTTCAGGATAACTGGCCTAAAAAATAGAATATATTACATTATGCCAAAAACCAAATAGTGGGGAAAAAGAGGAAAGCAATGTATTATGAATTGTGTTCTTGCTCTACATTGAAAGGGAAGATATTAAAATAAATACAATTTTTACTTTAAAAATAAAATTTTTAAGAAAAAAAATGATAGGCTAACAGTAAATTTCATTTTAAAGCTCTTGCTGTGCCTTACACTACTAAAGAATCAACTGCACTAGCAACTTTTATTCGCAAAAAATAGCTCATTTGGTCGGGTCATTGATTCTAAGGCCCCTCCCACCCAGGAAGTGGATCGTCCTGATGGATACTTCATCTACTGCGCGCGGTATTCTCAAACACGGCTGGCTCTGCTCGGTCTTTCTTTAGTGGCACTCAGAACTGCACGTGAACTTGGGAGATGGGCTGCCATAGCGTTTCATAAAAACGAGACAAGAGCATAGACTTTTTCTAGCACTCTTCCCTGGTATTGCCGTTCCAAGGCTGTTTGGCCTGCAGCATTAGGGACAATCTATGTTTTTCATCCTCAGCTCGCTTTGGCCGGTCTGCTTCCAGAGTTGTGGCCAACGGCCAACATTCCATATTTGCAGTTTGACTGCTTTACTCCTAGAGGCATTGCGTGTGCGTACTCACTTTGGAACAATATGTCGCTTTCCTGCTCGTTTGCATAAGACTCCTGGGAGCTTCCTGTTAGCCATCCTCATGAGCTTGACTTTCCACTTCCTAGATACTTAAGGGATTTTCCAAACTGTTCATGAATCAAACGGCCCGGTCAGGGATGATTCCCAATGAGCATCCCCTTGGGATGTCCCAACCTCTCCCTACTCCTTGCTTCCTTTGTTAATGTCACTTTTTTCACCAAAAAAAAAAAAAAAGAAAATAGGGACCCTGATCCCAAGCTGACCTTAAGTAATGGCCTTTGGTATGGAATCTTGTCGAAGGTCTTTAGAAAATCTTTCTCCCCACCCCCCCACCTTTCTTCATCCTGTTATATCTACTGAAAATGTATTTTAAAAAGATCCACGTGGGGCGCCTGGGTGGCTCGGTTAAGCGACTGCCTTCGGCTCAGGTCGTGATCCTGGAGTCCCAGGATCCAGTCCCGCATCGGGTTCCCTGCTCAGCGGGAGTCTGCTTCTCCCTTTGACCCTCCCCCCTTTCATGGTCTCCCTCTCTCTCTCATTCTCTCTCTCAAATAAATAAATAAAATCTTAAAAAAAAACAAAGATCCACGTGTATTTAGATCTTCGTTGTCCCTCTTTTCCATTGTGGAGTCATTCATCTCCCCTCACTCCTTAAATTCCTTCAAGGTTTATCCAATACCAGGGCTGAGCAAGGTCTAAATTCACCCAGCAGTGGTGTGCTTCCTGAGATCTACATTCCTGCATACACTTCTTAGTGACAAGGGTCACCTTTGCAATCTGGCACACTGACTTGCATAACAATACATTCCAGTGGCCTAATTTCACCCTTGAGTTCCTGCAAAACTCTCATTGAACTGCCCTCCACTTGGTGATTTATCTAGATTTATTGTGTCAATTTGGCAGAATAGCTCTGATACAACCACTCCTGAATGTAATAGCATTAATCTTGCATTTCCAAGAACAATACAGAACTGATGATCTCCCTATGATCTTCTTCATTAAAAACTAAGGTTTAAGAATTCATTCGTGAGCTATCATCATTTCATCCTGTGGAGAACTCTGTGCCAATATTACCTGTGGTCTATCCTCTTTCGTGAGTTAAATTGTTCTCTCTGATTCCTTGAAAGAAACTGGTGTTGCTCTTAAAGTCTCACATATAATGCTCCTCAATTTCTCTGTGTTTTGAAGACTACTTTATCACTTTATTGCTCCTATTCTTCCACATTTGCTAGATTTCCCTGTCCTCATAATTTGAACCATGTTTCAGCTGAGGAAAGGGAACTAATTATTTCCTAAAATTTTTTTTTAAAGATTTTATTTATTTGTTCATAAGAGACAGAGAGAAAGAGAGAGAGAGGCAGAGGGAGAAGCCGGCTCCCCGCTGAGTAGGGAGCCCGATGCGGAACTCGATCCCAGGACCCTGGGATCATGACCTGAGCCAAAGGCAGACGCTTAACCATCTGAGCCACCCAGCACCCCTAAAATAAAATTTGTGATACTTCTGGTTATCCATGCAATTGGGAATACAGTGCACATGGAATAATTTTGAATGAGGTTTTTTACAACATCATTGCATTTTTCTTAACAGCTACCTGCGCTAAAATTAGCAAACAACTAAGTGAGTGGTCATTCAAAATTCTAGGGGCACCTGTTATAATGATTAGTAGTCATTAATTAACATAAGAAGTATATTGTTTACTAATTCTGGGGGAGACGAAGTGCTGAAGTGCAAGGTGCTAGGAATTCAACTAATTTAGAAGATATGGTCTCTGTCCCCAGGGATCTCAGAGTGTGGTGTCACATTACATGCAGACATGTAAATAAACAAGTTAAGTTCACTCAGCGTGATCAGTGCCAAATAGTAGGTGAAGGTGAAGGGGAGAGCATTTGCCTGCACATTCCAGAGCCAGGCGTGTGATGATATTGAGCTGAGTCTTGATGAATAGGTGGGAGAGTCCTGGGCAAAAGGTGGTAGGAAGGGCAGGGGCATTAAACTTGGGACCGGGGAGTGGAGTTCAACAGAAATGGTAGCAGGTGAGACTGGAGAGAACAGGTGAAGTCGTAACCATATCCTGTAGGCAAACAGAGGCAATCAGAGATTTAAATAATGAAATACTATAGTCGAATCTGTGATGTGAGTGTGCAAGCAGAGAGATCATTTAAGAAGTTATTACAGTGTTCACGCAAGAGCTGGTGAGGCAATGTCAGAATAGAAAGCAGGGAATGGGTTTAATATACAGGTAGGAGGTATATCTGAGTCCCTCAGACATTTATTCAGGTGGTGGGAAATTAGGGAAGAGAACAAAGTCAAGGGGACTTTGTCAAATTCCCCGGGATTCATTTTTGGGTAACTAGGTACATGTAAGTCCGACAACCAGAATAGGGACTGACAACCAGAAGCAGGTTAGTAGTGGGTTGGTCTGAGAATGATGGGAGGGCTTTGTAACGATCATGAGTTGTACTTTGAACATACTTGGTTTGACATGAAGTATCCAAGGGAAGATTATTTCTAATAAATAATTATATAGATCTGGTGCTTAGGCCTAGAAATATAAATGGGAGAGCCACTAGGATAGGGCTCAGTCACTTTTGCATTCTGGCTGGCTGTATTTGAGATCCTATGCTAAGAATGACAGCAACAAGGATGACTAACAAATGATCTGTCTCTGGAGTCCAGTAATGAACAAAGACACAATTATTTATTATACCTTATTCTTCTAATATGTCATATATATGGACCTTATTCATATAAATGATTTATTCTATATACTAAACGCTTGTCAATACTTTTCTTACCTTTCAGCCACATTATTATTTTAAATAACTCCTTTGATCATTCTTAAGAGTAGCAACTATCAAAGAAATGAATTACTAATGGGGTACACTGACTGATTCCAAGGATACAAGAATAAACAGTTTATCCCAGCTGGAAAATCATTTAGCTGAAATGTTATACTTCTTACAGTGTGCCCTTTATATACATTTTGTGAAGGACACGTTACTTATACTTCCTGAATCAATGAAAATTTGGCAGATCTGGTGTCATTTAGGTGGAAGGAGCTCAAACAGAGCTCTTACATTTGCCCCTTTAAAATAGCAACTCTCTTTGAAAAGTAAATATATCACATACACACAGTCAGCTTGTGGATAGGAAATGATGGGTGGAAAAAAAGTGTGATGGAAAAGTCCCCACAGTTACTCTAACAAAATTCAGGAATTCTCTGACCAAAAAAAAAAAATTTTTTTTCTGAAACCTTGTTTAAATAAATTATAGACACTGTGGAATCATCATTCATAAAATTATTTTATGAAACCCAGAGTGAAATCATGTTCTGTAATTGTAATCCATGGCTAAATAGGACATATCCCTCTAGCTGCCAGTTCATGCTTTGAGCAAGTGACATGTACAAAGAATAACTTGAAGATTCTGCTCTCTCTTGAAAAAAGGAAACATTGAATAGACAGCTTTTCAGAAAGTTGTGTTGAATTGTATTCATGGTCTTTTCTAAAATGGATATGTTCACATAATGTATGCAGCTACAGTGTCCTATGATTTCTACAGAACACAAAATGTCAGATCTCATTACTGGAAGTTCTCCAAATGACATCTTTTTTTTTTCTCTCTCTCTCTTTCTCTCTCTCATCATAAACAGGGAAGGTCATGGTAAAATTTCAGTATTTGCTGTCAAAATGGCTTTAGCCACATTGTGTGGAGGGAAGATCATGGACAAATTAAGATGTAAGTTATTCTTTGTGTCTCTCTTTGCTTATTCCTCCCATGTACCACATTTTCTTTTCCCCATTTCTGCTATGTCCTGCTGCCCATTTGGACTTTCCTCATTCTGTGAAAGTTGTTTGAAATATAATCTTCATGGATCTTTGGATTTTATCACAGAAATATTTTCATATTAGATAAATGTTAATGATATGAATGTTTTCCTTCTACTTCTGGATTATTATTAGTTATAACCTGTTGAGTATCACCAACTAGACTTCCTGTAATATTAAAGTAAGATGTATATCCTTTCAAGTTCATTGTACTATACCACCTTACAGGCGTAAGTCCGTCTTCATAGGGACATGAAAGCCATGTTGGACAATCTCCCTTTTTTAGGTAATCTAAAGCCAAAGCTCCTGGCACATTTCCTCATTCTTCTTAGCCAGTGCTGTTCAAATCACTGGGAATCCCAAAGGTTCCAAAGTAGACATTGCCAGGGTAGAGGCATAAGAATTGCACAGATCCGAAGGGGCACGTGCACCTCGATGTTTATAGCAGCAATGTCCACAATAGCCAAACTGTGGAGAGAGCCAAGATGCCCATCGACAGATGAATGGATAAAGAAGATGTGGTCCATATATACAATGGAATATTACGCAGCCATCAAAAGGAATGAAATCTTGCCATTTGCAACAACGTGGATGGAACTGGAGGGTGTTATGCTGAGCAAAATAAGTCAATCAGAGAAAGACATGTATCATATGACCTCAC